GTGTGTGTGTGAGTGTTGTGTGGGTGTGTGTGTGAGTGTTGTGTGGGTGTGTGTGAGTGTTGTGTGGGTGTGTGTGAGTGTTGTGTGTGTGTGTTGTGTGTGAGTGTTGGGTGTGTGTGAGTGTTGTGTGTGTGTGAGAGTTGTGTGTGTGTGTGTGTGAGAGTTGTGTGTGTGTGTGAGTGGTGTGTGTGTGTTGGGTGTGTGTGTGTGTGTGTTGTGTGTGTGTGTGTTGTGTGTGTGTGTGTTGTGTGTGTTGTGTGTGAGTGTTGTGTGTGTTGTGTGTGTGTGTTGTGTGTGAGTGTTGTGTGTGAGTGTGTGTTGGGTGTGTGTGTGTGTGTTGGGTGTGTGTGAGTGTTGTGTGAGTGTTGTGTGTGAGTGTTGTGTGTGAGTGTTGTGTGTGAGTGTTGTGTGTGAGTGTTGTGTGAGTGTGTGTGTTGTGTGTGAGTGTTGTGTGTGTTGGGTGTGTGTGAGTGTTGTGTGTGAGTGAGTGGTGTGTGTGTGTGAGTGTTGTGTGTGTGTGAGTGGTGTGTGTGTGTGAGTGTTGTGTGTGTGAGTGTTGTGTGTGAGTGTTGTGTGTGTGTGTGTGAGTGTTGTGTGGGTGTGTGTGAGTGTTGTGTGTGTGTGTTGTGAGAGTGTGTGTGTTGTGTGTGAGTGTTGTGTGTGTTGGGTGTGTGTGAGTGTTGTGTGTGTGTGAGTGTTGTGTGTGTGTGAGTGGTGTGTGTGTGTGTGAGTGGTGTGTGTGTGTGTGTTGGGTGTGTGTGAGTGTTGTGTGTGTGTGTGTTGTGTGTGAGTGTTGGGTGTGTTGGGTGTGTGTGAGTGTTGTGTGAGTGGTGTGTGTGTGTGAGTGGTGTGTGTGTGTGAGTGGTGTGTGTGTGTGTTGGGTGTGTGTGAGTGTTGTGTGTGTGTGTTGTGTGTGTTGGGTGTGTGTGAGTGTTGTGTGAGTGGTGTGTGTGTGTGAGTGTTGTGTGTGTGTGAGTGTTGTGTGTGTGTTGTGTGTTGTTGGGTGTGTGTGAGTGTTGTGTGTGTGTGAGTGGTGTGTGTGTGTGAGTGTTGTGTGTGGAGTGTTGTGTGTGTTGGGTGTGTGTGAGTGTTGTGTGTGTGTGAGTGTTGTGTGTGTGTGTGAGTGGTGTGTGAGTGTTGTGTGTTGTGAGTGTTGTGTGTGTTGGGTGTGTGTGAGTGTTGTGTGTGTGTGTTGTGTGAGTGTTGTGTGTGTGTGTGAGTGTTGTGTGGGTGTGTGTGAGTGTTGTGTGGGTGTTGTGTGTGTTGTGTGAGTGTGTGTGTTGTGTGTGAGTGTTGTGTGTGTTGGGTGTGTGTGTGTTGGGTGTGTGTGAGTGTTGTGTGAGTGTTGTGTGAGTGGTGTGTGTGTGAGTGGTGTGTGTGTGTGAGTGGTGTGTGTGTGTGAGTGGTGTGTGTGTGTGTTGGGTGTGTGTGAGTGGTGTGTGTGTGTGTTGGGTGTGTGTGAGTGTTGTGTGAGTGTTGTGTGAGTGGTGTGTGTGTGTGAGTGGTGTGTGTGTGTGAGTGGTGTGTGTGTGTGTTGGGTGTGTGTGAGTGGTGTGTGTGTGTGTTGGGTGTGTGTGAGTGTTGTGTGTGTTGTGTTTGAGTGTTGTGTGTGTTGGGTGTGTGTGAGTGTTGTGTGTGTGTGTTGGGTGTGTGTGAGTGTTGGGTGTGTGTGAGTGTTGGGTGTGTGTGAGTGTTGGGTGTGTGTGAGTGTTGTGTGTGTGTGAGTGGTGTGTGTGTGGTGTGTGTTGGGTGTGTATGAGTGTTGTGTGTGTGTGTGTGTTGTGTGTGAGTGTTGTGTGTGAGTGTTGTGTGTGTTGGGTGTGTGTGAGTGTTGTGTGTGTGTGAGAGTTGTGTGTGTGTGTGTGTGAGAGTTGTGTGTGTGTGTGAGTGGTGTGTGTGTGTTGGGTGTGTGTGTGTTGGGTGTGTGTGTGTTGGGTGTGTGTGTGTGAGTGGTGTGTGTGTGTTGTGTGAGTGTGTGTGTTGTGTGTGAGTGTTGTGTGTGTTGTGTGAGTGTGTGTGAGTGTGTGTGTTGTGTGTGAGTGTTGTGTGTGTTGGGTGTGTGTGAGTGTTGTGTGTGTGAGTGGTGTGTGTGTGTGTTGTGTGTGTGTGAGAGTTGTGTGTGTGTGTGTTGGGTGTGTGTGTGTTGGGTGTGTGTGTGTTGGGTGGGTGTGTGTTGTGTTGGGTGTGTGTGTGTTGGGTGGGTGTGTGTTGGGTGGGTGTGTGTTGTGTTGGGTGTGTGTGTGTTGGGTGGGTGTGTGTTGTGTGGGTGTGTGTGTGTGTTGTGTGGGTGTGTGTGAGTGTTGTGTGGGTGTGTGTGAGTGTTGTGTGGGTGTGTGTGAGTGTTGTGTGGGTGTGTGTGAGTGTTGTGTGGGTGTGTGTGAGTGTTGTGTGGGTGTGTGTGAGTGTTGTGTGGGTGTGTGTGAGTGTTGTGTGGGTGTGTGAGTGTTGTGTGGGTGTGTGTGTGTTGTGTGGGTGTGTGTGTTGTATGTGTGGGTGTGTG